ACGAGGAAGGTACGCCTGCCTATGGACTGACTGGAGTGCTCAAGGTGTAATAGTCCCTATGAAATATTGACCAAGGAACTTCCGGGTACACAATTTGGTATTAAAAGAGCTAAAGGTCAAGGGGCTGGAGCAGGCTAAAGGTGAGTGTGGTACGATTCCAAGGCTGGGGAAAAGAATTAACTCTTCTACATGGCTCTGGGTGTGTCCCTTCCTTTTCTGCTGGGGTTTAACCACACTCAACTTGTGGAATGGCAATTCCTAACTCACAGGGTTATAGAGCAATCACAGACCAATAGCAGACAGCACAGTGCCCCTGTAAACAGTGCTTCTTTTCCTTGCTATCTAAGGAGACACCTGGGGTTCTCTGGTTGCTTCTTTCTATTTCTCATGTGTGTTGACCGTTGGCTGAGTCAATGCTATTTGCCACATAGTTTGAACTGGGTGTGCCAACCATAGCTCGATAGGTATTCCATGCTTCCTTCTTATTCATACCCACAGGCACCTGGGTAAGATGCTCAGGCTAGCACCGTATTCAAAACAACCCATTCCTGGTTCTTAGCTACTGCTCTGGTGTCTGGTACTTAGTATAGCTCAGGGCTGGTGATCTTACCAAGCATTCAAGAACATGAAGGCAAGAGAATCAGAAGTTCAAGATCATCCTTGACTACATATCAAGTTCGAGGTCAGCCTGGAGTCCATGTGTTCTAGATACAGGAAATGTTTTTGCTCCATGTCCACAGTGATGCACAGTAGTAAGTTTGTTAAGAAGTATCAGATAAGGAAAGTCAGAATTGCCACCAGAGAATCCCAATGATTTTAAGACACCTTAAATTTTAGACTGGCCTCTACAACCAAATGTCTAGGTTGGGAAAACAACAAAACATACCATCTAGAAGGATGGTAGGTGCCTTCTTATTTTGCAGAGGATATACAAAGTCAAGAAAAGAACAGCTGAGTGGCTCAAAGCTATTTGCTGATAAGCACAAGCCTCATTTGTGTACAAAAGAAGACATCTGAGGCTAAAAATCAGAAGGTAATATCACTTTACCTGACAGACATGAGACACACAAGGAGCTACAGAAAATCAATAACAAGCCGACAGGTGTCGCTGAAAAGTATTCCTGTTCACTCAGGAGAAGGCACAGCAAAGACCTTGCTCACAGTCTATTCTGATTCTGTCAAACTTCCTAAAGAGGGGCTTTTCAGCAGGCATCTCTCCCATGCTCACCATGGAGGCCAGCACTGAGCATTCTGGACCTCTGCAACAGCTCTTTCGCCTATGTGTGGATGACACCAAGTAGAGGGCCTTTGAAACTTCATGGACCTCAAATGATTTACATAATTAAGAGATGTAAATGTTTCTTGGGGATCTCATCCTCACCCCCATCACCAGAAGCAAAGATCCAGTTTACGAGATCACTGCTCACGGAGAGGTGAACATTGTCCTGTCTGCGTTTACCCTGTTGCTCAATCTTCCAGGACACTCTGAACAAGGACATCTAGTCATGGCACGTTGCTGGTGGGGTATTACCTGGCCAGTTCCACTTGACTCACAGCGAGCTGCATTCCTTCACAGCTGCTATTTACTCATTTTTATCAGAATAAACAATCCTTACTGAGAACCACATATTTTTCAGGGGGCAGGGCAGGCAGGGGCTGCCTTTAATGAGCCACACATTTAATGCAAATTACACCCAGAGTGGGAGACAGGTTTACAAGTTACTGCCTTGTCTGCCAGCTATGGCTCCCCTGCCATCATGCCTGATCATCAGAATCCTGAAAATGGTCCACAACTTGAAGGCAGCTATCATTCTTCCCCAGGAAAGGAAGGTTCTGGATGCCATAGTGGACACTCGAAAGAAGGGTATGACTTTGTTCGCTACTAACAAAGCACAGAGAGTTAATGACTACAGTACAGGCCACGGTGTCACATGCCATGCTTATTTTGACCACCTGGCACACTAGGACTTACCCACCCCAGAGGGCTGAAAAACCCCTTTCTTCTTCTTTCCCATGTTTACCATCAGTGTATTATTTAGAGCCT